GAAAATATGTTGGAGGCGCCATCTAGTCCTATTTACCGGCCATCGTGTGTACGAGATTGGCCAAAAGGTTGTGGGCCAAAGATGAAGTCGAAGGTAAGGAAACGGACGGCCAAGAGACAACGCAAAGCAAGGGCCCGAAAAGCAAGTCAATGTAGGTGCGAGCCTTGTGCAAAGAAAAGACAAGCTCAAAGAAAGGAGGCTAAAAGGCGTGGTTTGCGATGGGTCCAAAGTGGATGGTGGATACCGGCGGACGATTGTGTGAGGTTGAAGGGTTGGGATCCGTGGCCTGAGCCAACGGGGACGGACGGTGACAAAGAAGACGACAATGATCGGCTAATGGGCGAGTGGCGCGCATCGGCCTATGATGCGCGCGGTTGGACCGAACAGGCCACACACGGAGACGCGACACGCGATCAGGCCACGGAGGTTGATTGGGATGCGTTAGCGTTCGGCAGCAAGACGACGGGAGTCACGACATGCGCGGAAGAAGCACACGCGGACGAGGCAACCGGCAAGGGTGCGGGGCTCGCGGGCAGCAGCGGGTGGACGTACGCGGGCGAAGGCCTAAGCCGTGTAGGCTTAGGTGAGGCGGGCGATACGTTGGACGTACGCGGCGCAGCGGGCGCACAAGGATGCGACGTAGGTGATCGAGGAACGGGCGTTGGCAGGGACGCGCGCACGGAGGCTGACGGGGACGAGGAGCGCGCGATGACGCGCGAATGGGTGATAGGCGCCACCGCATGCCTATGTGCGGAAGGAGTAGGCGAGGGGGGTGACACGCACGCGCACGAGGGGATCGGGCGCGAGCTGGGGGCGCGCATAGGGCGCGCGTGCGAAATGAGCGAGCGAAGCCTAATGCGCCAAGGACTAGAAGAGCACGAGGGGCGGCGCTCGGACGACGCGTGCGATGCGCGAAGAGAGGCGGCGCGGGATTAGGGCGGCCGAAAGTTTTATTTTAGGGAGCTTCTAGATTTGCTTGGTGTGCAAGCCAAGCAATAGTTATTGGTAGCTTTAGGATTTTATTGCTTTCTAGAGTTAGGATTTAATATTTAATTGTTTTATTAGTTTCCTAGTAAGATTAGATCTAGAGATAGTTGGTATCTATAAATACCCCATGTACCTCATCATATTTTATGTCATGAATGAAGTATTGAATTGGTGAGCCAATCTTGAGGGGGAACTGATGTTCTTAACGTATGTCTAAACAAGGCCGTTAGTGCGTGTTTACATACAATGTCGGAGAGAAGGCCAATAGTGTGTCTTGAAGTCACGGTGTCTAGGAGAAGGCCGCAGTGCGTCTGTTAGACACGTCTATCGTGGATAAACGAAGGCCCAGAGCGCGTTTATTCACACAATCGTATAGACAGAAGATCGATCCGTCATCATTGGTGCTCTCGTTGAGAGGTGCTGATCGATATTTTGTCTATCTTATCTTTTTATTTTTTTCGGTTTGCCTTTTGCTGAGGGGCCGAATTTCTCTTCTTTTTGGGTCGAAATTTTCGAATTTATTTCGAATATTTCATTAAAAAAAAAAAAGTGTCATCCTGTTAGTCCTTTGTTTGATTTTTGTTCGGTTATTACCTTTTGTTGAGGGGCCGAATTTCTCTTTGTTTCGATTTTTTTTGAGTCTTGTTGGGGGTTTGAATTTTCGAATTTTTTCCCCTATTTGGTTCGAATTTTTCTTTTTTTTCGAAAGAGTCAAAAAAAAAAAAAATTAATTATGTCTTACCCACCAATGGATGAGTTGGATTGGGAAGATCTTGAGATGTTGGAAGGGTTGGAAAGAGAGCTCACGCCATGGGAGAAAACATATCTTGATGAGCTTCATGAGAGGAGGAATATTGAGGAGTATGAGCGTCAACTCATGGAAGCCCGAGAAGCAATGGTGGTTGAGAACGATGAAGAGGAAGGCGAGCTTAATTTCTTAATCCTTGAGGACAAGGAAAGTCTCGAAGAGGAGGGGAATGATACGGAAGTGGTCATCAATCCCGGTGAGTCCGACAATGATGATGGCGATGGTCCCGATATTTGGTTGGAAAATATGTTGGAGGCGCCATCTAGTCCTATTTACCGGCCATCGTGTGTACGAGATTGGCCAAAAGGTTGTGGGCCAAAGCTGAAGTCGAAGGTAAGGAAACGGACGGCCAAGAGACAACGGAAAGCAAGGGCCCGAAAAGCAAGTCAATGTAGGTGCGAGCCTTGTGCAAAGAAAAGACGAGCTCAAAGGAAGGAGGCTAAAAGGCGTGGTTTGCGATGGGTCCAAAGTGGATGGTGGATACCGGCGGACGATTGTGTGAGGTTGAAGGGTTGGGATCCGTGGCCCTAGCCAACGGGGACGGACGGTGACAAAGAAGACGACAATGATCGGCTAATGGGCGAGTGGCGCGCATCGACCCATGATGCGCGCGGTTGGACCGAACAGGCCACACACGGAGACGCGACACGCGATCAGGCCACGGAGGTTGATTGGGATGCGTTAGCGTTCGGCAGCAAGGCGACGGGAGTCACGGCATGCGCGGAAGAAGCACACGCGGACGAGGCAACCGGCAAGGGTGCGGGGCTCGCGGGCAGCAGCGGGTGGACGTACGCGGGCGAAGGCCTAAGCCGTGCAGGCTTAGGTGAGGCGGGCGATACGTTGGACGTACGCGGCGCAGCGGGCGCACAAGGATGCGACGTAGGCGATCGAGGAACGGGCGTTGGCAGGGACGCGCGCACGGAGGCTGACGGGGTCGAGGAGCGCGCGATGACGCGCGAATGGGCGATAGGCGCCACCGCATGCCTATGTGCGGAAGGAGTAGGCGAGGGGGGTGACACGCACGCGCACGAGGGGATCGGGCGCGAGCTGGGGGCGCGCATAGGGCGCGCGTGCGAAATGAGCGAGCAAAGCCTAATGCGCCAAGGACTAGGAGAGCACGAGGGGCGGCGCTCGGACGACGCGTGCGACGCGCGAAGAGAGGCGGCGCGGGATTAGGGCAGCCGAAGGTTTTATTTTAGGGAGCTTCTAGATTTGCTTGGTGTGCAAGCCAAGCAATAGTTATTTGGTAGCTTTAGGATTTTATTGCTTTCTAGAGTTAGGATTTAATATTTAATTGTTTTATTAGTTTCCTAGTAAGATTAGATCTAGAGATAGTTGGTATCTATAAATACCCCATGTACCTCATCATATTTTATGTCATGAATGAAGTATTGAATTGGTGAGCCAATCTTGAGGGGGAACTGATGTTCTTAACGTATGTCTAAACAAGGCCGTTAGTGCGTGTTTACATACAGTGTCGGAGAGAAGGCCAATAGTGCGTCTTGAAGTCACGGTGTCTAGGAGAAGGCCGCAGTGCGTCTGTTAGACACGTCTATCGTGGATAAACGAAGGCCCAGAGCACGTTTATTCACACAATCGTATAGACAGAAGATCGATCCGTCATCAGCGCGGCGCGGCGCAGGGCTGCCAGGGACAACACGCGAGGGCAACTTGTCGAGCATGAAACCGAGTCTTCTAGGAGTTTTTTTTTAGCTGAATCTTTTCTTGATTATTCTTGATACTTTCCCACATGATTTTAATAGCTTCCTTTAGCATATTAGGACTTGGCATTAGATTAGGATTTTAGATATTTAGTTACCTTAGGATTTTATATTATTTCTTAGTTAGAATTATAGCTCTCATAGGACTAGATCTAGTTTCTGTTATAAATACCTATGTACTCATTCAGTTTCATCAATGTTGAAGTTATAAAGAAAATCGTTCTCAAGAGCAAAACCATGTGTTTAAGATTTGTGAGAGTTTTACCATACAAATCGAGTTTAGTAAGGATTGCCCGAGCTATCTCAAAACTGTGAGAAGATAAGGCTAATAATCGAGTCGTCCACACCTATCGCCGAGAAGGAAGCTGTGGCAACACGTCTTTCGATGCAATCAAGTTGAGGAGATACACGCACTACAAGAAAATAGAGTTCTAGTGAAGAATTTTTTTGTCACTATGTTGTCACTATATCTACTGTCACTATATCTACAGTTGTTGTCACTATATCTACAACAATTGTAGATATAGTGACAATAATTGTAGATATAGTGACAACAATTGTAGATATACTGACAGTATATATAACGACAACAATTGTAGATATAGTGACAAAAAAATTCTTCACTACAACTCTATTTTCTTGTAGTGACGATTCTTCATCAACCTGTCATGGGCTTGATCGAGTTATTATGTAAGTATTATGGTTGTGTATATTTCCTTTGGGGCTTTTGTTATGTTATTATTTGACCCACTTTAGGGGTTGCAATTCATTTTTGTAATTTACAGTTTGTATGAGACTTATTTGAAGGTATATTATGTGGAAAAGGTGGTTTTGGCACGATTCACGTGTTTCTCCCTCCATTCTCTCTCTCTACTCCTACTCTCATCTACTCTTAGTTCTCCTTGTTCCTTACTACATTTCTATAGAAAATTCAAACATCAAAATTACAAGAAAAAAAAAATAATAATAAAAGGTTAAAGAAGCACCAATCACCTAACACTAACTTTAACTATGATTATATTGTTAGTTATTCAAAAAAAAAAAAAAAAGAAAAAAAATCATCAAACTCATATTTTATTTGTTTTGTACCATTATTTTCGCGGAGCTTAACAAAACAAATCGTCTGCAATTCTGTGACAAAGCTGTCAACATTTCCAAATTCATACTTCATTGTACATTTGTACAGACCCAAAAACGATCCGTTTTACCTTTTGACCTGCCTCCTGTTCCCCTCCCTGCAATTTGCTCCAATTTCACTCACTCACCTCACCTCACCCTCACATATTTGCAGAATTACCCTAAACTTTTACTGTAAAAACGCTACTGCAAGTCTGCAACCTACGCTTTCGATGAATACTACTTCTCTGCTCTTTCACTCCCGCCATTGACACACACACACACACACACACACTCTCTGTGTCTCTTTCTCTAGGGCTTTCCGTCTCCTACAGTTTCAGCACGCACACACGCCGCGCACGCAGAACATGCAACGAGCACCGCCGGAAACGCCGTCCATATTGTTCAACAAGGGTGACAAAATCGAGGTCCGGAAGCAGAACGGCGCGGTAGTAATATGGCTCCCCGCCACCTTTCTCCGCTCCTCCCAGAGCCAAATGCGGGTGCGGTTCGAGAGCCCGAGTGATAACGGCGATCAGGCATCGCGTTTTCGCAGGGAAAACGTTGAAGCCGGGAACGTCAGGCCGGCCCCGCCGCCGGAGCTCCACCGGTACTTGAAAGTTGGGGAAATGGTGGAGGGTCTCTGCAGGGAGAAGAAGGGCTGGAGGAAGGGGCATGTCGTGGAGATACTGGAAAACTCGAGGTATACGGTGTCGTTTGAAGGCGAGGGGCAAGAGGACTATGTGGCCGAGATGGAACAGTGGGAGTTGAGGGCTTTCCGGGAATGGGTCGATGGGTTCTGGGTCCCGCCTTTTCTTCTTCAAGAAGTATTGCAGGTCTGTTTTTACTCTGTAACCTCCTCTTTTTCTTTTTTTCTTTTGTGTGTGTTCGTGTGTTGCTTGTGTGTTTAAGATTAATTTGTTTCAGGTTACTGTGTATTGTTTGTATATTTTTGCTTCCCATGTGTGATTTCTTTTCCTGTTGGTATATAATAGGAAAATAAAAGTGAAGAATATTTATTATTTGGCTGTTATTTCCTTTTGATGAACTGGTGTTGATTGATTCAACGTGTAGCAGATGACTATCGTGTTTCTGTTCCAAAATTGTACTGAATTTAATTTTAAGATAATCTGGAATTGCAGAGAACGTCATCAGAGCCCGAGACCAAACCAACAGGCTTGATAGTCAAGATAAAATGCAGCTCGAAAGTGTCGAAGCTGAAATTTTCTGATGAAATGTTAGTGGAGGTCAAAAGCAATGAGGTCGGTTTTGAGGGTTCTCTCTACGCAGCCGTAATTGTTAAATGCATGCCAAACGACAGGTTCTTGGTCGAGTATAGGACATTGAGAACTGCAGACAAGACCGAGCTTCTCAGAGAAGAAGTAGATGTCTCATGCATCAGGCACCGCCCCCCTTTCGTCCAACGGGTTTTGCCCTATGAATATTTGGAGAGAGTCGAAGCTTGGTATAGAGATGGCTGGTGGGCAGGCCATGTTGTCCAGGTTCTCAATGCTTCTAGATATATGGTTCGGTTTACTTATGGGAATGAGGACATGGTGTTCGAACATTGTAAATTGAGGCCACAGCAGGAATGGGTCAACGATAGATGGTCTGCTTTGCCTAAGGTGTGTAAAAAATTCGGACCTCTTGTTTTCCTTTATTTTTTTGTTTTCTGCATTTAGTTGATTTTTCCTTGTTCTAATATTTGAATCTCAGGTCAGTATAAATGATGTTAAATTGGAGACAAACAAGTGTGACCTGAAGAGAAAACGTGGTAGGAAGAGTTCGGGGCCCATTTTTGAAAAAGGGATGGTGGTGGAAGTGAAAAGTGACGAGGAGGGTTACCAGGGCTCATGGTATACTGCCACCATTGTTTGCTCCTTATGCAGTGATAAGTATTTGGTTGAGTATCAGACTCTGGGAACAGAGGACGAGACGCAACTGCTAAAGGAAAATGCGCGTGCTTCGTATATCAGGCCTTGCCCGCCTGGGATAATGCGATTGGATCGTTTTAAAATGCTGGAGGAAGTTGACGCGTGGTATAATGATGGATGGTGGGTGGGACTTGTTTCAAATGTCCTTGATGGTTTGAAGTACGCAGTGTATTTCTGGACCACGGATGAGGAGCTCACGTTTGATCATTCTAATCTGAGGCCTCATCAGGAATGGATTGGTGGCAAGTGGATTGTCTCTTTCAGGGTTTGACTTTTATCAATCTTTTTCCTGAATTGGCTTTCAATTGAGGCATACTTTACTCACATGTGCTTTTCTGCTCCCTTAATTTCTTGCAGCTGGCCATGGTCATTTTTAGTTGTTTTAACAACACAAAATTTCTCTGAACCTACAATCATCATTTTCTTTTATAGATATCTTACACGTGAATGCAACAAACTTGTAATAAACGAAGCAAAATGGGGAGGGGTATTTGTATTTTTGAATGATTGTGGAGAATTTTTTGTAATTAGACCAAACTTTAAGGGCATGTTTGCAATCAGTGGACACATGTATAAGCACTCTTTCCGCTTTATATTTGCTTCATGCTATTTTCCTTCACTTGCAGAAAAATCTGAACCTTGTGACGAAGAACAAGTTGGGAAAGTCTAAAGACGACAGACAAATGGGACCCGAACAACATTTCACGAGCGGAATGAAGGTAGAAGTGAGAAGTGACGAGCAAGGATACATTGGCTCTTGGTATCCGGCTGCCATCATGAAGGCACTTGGGAACAGAAAGTATTTGGTCGAGTACCTGACTCTGAAGGCCAATGATGAGGAAGCCCAGCTGCACAAAGAGGAAGCAGATGCCATTTGCTTGAGGCCACGGCCCCCTGTGTTCCAGAGGAAACAGAATTATAAGCCGTTTGAAGAAGTTGATGCTTGGTACAATGAAGGGTGGTGGGTCGGTCGGGTGTACCAAGCTCTGGAGGGCAGAAAGTATTCGGTTTATTTTGACACGACGAATGAGATATTGGAGTTTCAGCATTCTCAGTTGAGGACTCATCGGGATTGGGTTGACGGGCAGTGGGTCATTCCAAAGAAGGTACTGTTACATTTTTCTGGATGCATATGTTTGACTTTACTCGGCTTTGAAAGCAGACTAAGCGTGCACAATATTTGAACTAATTGATCATGTGTCTTTTCTTCTTGATTTCGTCTTCCTTTGCTTTTTTGTTGAACTCTGAAATTTCAAAAATAACTTTGACATTGAGAGAAATAAAACATATATGCAATTTGTTGAGTTGATAGCAAAGTTAGGCAGTTTGGTAGGTTATTTATGTACTAGTTCAGCCATTCATTGAAAGATATGCTTATGCCAAAACTGATAATCTTTCTTACCTCCCTTATTGCAGGGTGTGAAATCTCATTCAAAGTAAATTCTGACAAATTGGGAGTCTTTTAGCCATTTTCTTGTAGTGTTGATGTTCCTCGGGCTTTTACTGTGAAGCGAGTATATTCCTCGACCGTGTTCGTCTATTTGATAGAGAGCTATGTTATAACCCAACCCCATGAAGATTTGTAAGGGTCACTGTTTTGGTATCTCTCTTTTGTGGGTTGAGATTTGAGTGTTCATGCATCTTTTGTAGGCCCAAATGCTGTTTAAAGTTTAAACACAATGTTTGAACATGGAACAATATGAGCCTGTGGGGAGGGATCCTTTGTCTTAAAATCGTGCTTTTCCCTTTATATATGGGGCTGCCTGTTTCATACTCGAGATGGTTTATGATGATGTTAATATTAGAGCTGCCAGCATCTGATCTATAAGTTAGCCACGGGTAGTATTTACTATTGTTTACAAGCGATTAGAGTTGTTAAACGAAATTAACGGTTCATGAGCTTGGCTCGGCTATGCTCGTTTAGTTAATGAGATTTGATAAGTTTGTTAAGGCTTGAAATACGAATGGTTGTATTCATTTGAGATGTCGAATGACATTTTATATTTTGATATCTGATTGAGCAATTGTTTTTTAAAATAAATTAATATGTTTTAATGCATAGTAAATCTCTCAAACTCGCATAAGCAATTGTGATAATAAATTTATTATTTTGTAGCTAATTAATTGGTCACGATTCTTCTAAATTACAGAAAAGTACATTATTTATTACATTTTATACCATCAATATAGTGATTTAGATTAATCAAATAGTTATGTACTATTTATTTTAACCAATAATCAAATCTTTAAACATAATATTATTATCAAACTTATAATTTTAATACTATATGCATAAATAAATAACTTATAATACTCTATGTTAAAATAAAATATCATTATTTAACTAATGATCTTAATATGATATATATACAAATAATTTATAATACTTTATTTACATATGTATAAATGCAGAATACTAGTTTAAATAAATTGTGCCTCAGAAAAAATCAAATGGTTTGCAAATTGCAAGTAAAGAAAGAAAAATAATCAAACTTTTTTTATTTTATTTTATTTTATTTTTGGTACAAGAAGGAAGTCAAAGCCCAACAAAGATCGAAACTACAAGACTACTCTACGAGGATAAGCAATCCCCGCTAAATCATGCTCCAACCAAACCTTAACCTCATTCGGCAGATTATACAACGTAAAGTAACCAAACGAACCCAATGCCGTTTGTGACGCTAAATGATCGACCGCATAATTGGCTTCCCTATAGGTATGGCGGATCACCACTTCTCAATTGCGCCTCAAGAGATCCCTTATACCAAAAAGTAAGCCCCGATGAATTCCTGATGGCTCTTCGTTGTTCAACGCCATATGAACAATACTAGAGTTATCAACCTCGACTAAAATTATACGACCTTGAAACTCCCAAGCGAGTTGTAACCCATCGTATAAACCTCCAAGTTCTGCCCCGATTAATGAACAAAAGCTAATGTTGTGCATGAACCCACCAACCCATCTCCCATGTGACCCTAACATTCTATCAAACTTTTATGTAGCCCTGTGGTTTGTGGGCTCCAAGTTTTTCTTCTCCATTTCCCTTTGAACGTTCCAAACGCCCCAAGCTTACCAATCCTTCTCGCTCCTTAAGTCATCCCAGTGTTTTGAACTGCGATTATCACACTATTTGGTACTCTATTTTTTCCTCTAAAGGTAGAGTCTTTCATAAGTTGTGTACCTCATTCTGGCTAATTTTTTGTGTGTTTGCTGTAGTTTATTTTTGGTATGTGAATTTCAAGAAAAATGGCTTTAAGAAATAGAAGGAATTTTGGTAAAACAAACAAAGTCGAGGCACGTAAGATACGCTCTCTTTAAGACGAAATAACCCCGTATATTACCCACGGTTCACGACTAACGCCTCCAAGATACAACGACTTTATGATTTGTGTATAGCGGTAACTCAAATATATAAACCTTCGGCGAACAATACTTATGTTTTGAAACTCTCAAGATAGAAAAGAACACAAAGAACACAAGATGAATATGAACTTTTAAAAAAGGATGCAAAGGTTATGGAATAATTTTATGTGTTGAATGATTTCATGTTAGTGGGTATTTATAGATGTATGGAGACACCTCCAAGAGGTTTAAGTGTCAAAAAACACCTTTTGGGACGTTCCCGAACAAGAACGGATGCATCTAGTGGCCAAAAGATACCTTATGGTCACCAAGGGTTGCGACCCTTCGATTTCCACATCCAGTTGCGCGCCCGTATGCCGCGGGCTCGTACGAGCTCATACGGACTAGAAATCGAGTTCCGTTTTTTCCTACTTGTCCCCAACGAGCCCCTCGACAATTCTAGCATACATAATGCATATTTATAGCTCGTTTAGTTTGTCCAAATATTTATTAAAATATAATATTTGTGAACCCTACAACCTTTTGAGTTATTTAAACTCAATTAATTAAAATATAGCACTTACAATTAATTTCTCATTCACTTTAAAAAGGTTTTGAGAATTTTCTAAGTCTTCTACTTACGAAAAATAGAATCGTTAAATCGGTACAAAACCAATTTTTTTCTTACAATCCCCCACGTGAATGAAATTAATGCATGTATCCAATACTTAAGAGTTCCGGCGGACCATCATTGCATCAGGATAGATAGTTTGTGGCTTTGAATCTTCCGTAGTGAAATACTATTAGATACACTAGTGAGCTAGTAGCGCGATGCTTTGAACTTACCGGCTGTTTGTGTGCATCAAGACGATAATACTCACACAATAACAGCTCTAACAATTTTTTGTTCTCACGTTGTGTCCATTTCGGCCTTGGACCATATCTCGATTTAGTAAGTGTTTGTTGAAGCGGCCAATTTACTTCTCACTTACAAAGGTAATTCTCCTATAAAGAGTATTCTGCCTTACTCCACCCATAGGTATAGGAATCATTAAAAGTCCTTGACTTAGCCTCACCACTTAGGCAACTTTTAACACTTAACGGTTTTTGGGAATGGGTGAAACTTTCAAGTGTTTCACTGAACTATCAAAACTTAGTTTTCCCATTGAACCAAGGTTTCGGGATCTCTGATTCTCAAGGTTGGGTTACCACTAAGATTGTTCTTATGTTCTGGATTTTAATCCCATTCCCCTAACCAACTTGTACATTTGATCTCGATTGATGCCTTTAGTAAGTGGATCCGCTACGTTTTCCTTTGACTTCACGTAGTCAACCGAAATAACTCCACTCGAGATCATTTGTCTTACAGTATTATGCCTTCGACGTATATGTCGAGACTTACAAGCTACTTTGTGCCCTTACAATTGCGATTTATTATCATAATGTATCATTACGGCGGGCACCAGTTTTATCCAGCATGGAATATACTTTGTGCCCTTCCATTCAGCTTCTTTCCTGGCTTTGTCCAAGGATATAAACTTGGACTCCATCGTGGATCTAGCAATACACGTTTGCTTAGAAGATTTCCATGACACCTCTCCTCCACCTATAGTGAACACAAAACCACTAGTGGACTTGGAGTCTTTTGTGTCGGATATCCAATTCGCATCGCAATACCCTTCAAGTACCGCTGGATATCTCGTATATGTTATTCCAAAACTCAAGGTATGTTTCAAATACCTAAGTACCAGAATAAGTGCATTCCAATGGTCATTGCTTGGGTTACTCGTGAACCTACTTAGTTTACTCACCGAATATTCTATATCGAAGCGAGTGCAATTCATCAAGTACATCAAGATCCCAATTACTCGTGAGTGTTCTAGTTGAGACACTGGTTCACCTCGATTTTTAGCTAAGTGTTGAGTTAAATCAACAAGCGTCCTAGCTGGAGGCTTATCGAATGCATTGAACCTCTTCAAGATGTTTTCAACATAATGGGATTGTGACAAAACAATTCCTTTCAAACTTTTAGAGATTTTAATCCCTAAGATTACATCGGCTTTTCCCATATCCTTTATGTCGAAATTATTTTTCAACATTTTCTTGGTGCTAAGGATTAAACCATTATTTTTTCCCAAGATCAACATGTCATCCACATATAGGCATACGATCACAAATGAATCGACGTTACCTTTAATATAAACACATTTGTCACACTCATTGATTTTAAATCTGTTCGACAACATCACTTTGTCAAACTTTTCGTGCCATTGCTTAGGTGCTTGTTTTAGTCCATAAAGTGACTTAACCAAGCGACACACTTTTTGTTCTTCTCCGGGAGCAACGAACCCCTAGGGTTGTTCCATATAAATTTCCTCCTCGAGGTCTCCATTTAAGAAGGTCGTTTTCATATCCATTTGATGAATCTCAAGGTCATGCTGTTGGGTTTTGTGAGGAACGTCAAACAACATGCACAGTATTGAACTTATCGAAATAAATCCTAACGCAGCGGAATCTATAGTTAGGATATGGTCGTTTACCTTTTAAAATTTTTGCCGACTCTGAGACGATATAGAGTACCGTTGATGGAGTTCGTCTGAACACCACAATCTAATGGGTAGATAGATTTGGCCTTTATTCGATTCTTATCGAAAGTTCCAACGAAGTTGATCACACGGTGCGCGGTCTCGACCGTCGGGGTGCAGCGGGCAGCTCGTGCGCTTCGGGCGCGGACAGCGTGCGGATACGCGGGCAGCAGCGGGCGCACGTCGGGAATTGGGCGACGTGGATGGACGCTGGCGACTGCTAGACGAGTGCGTGCACACGGGCGAGACTCCTACTCCTACGCGGACTGGCGCTGGGATGCGGTGCACGCACGCGGGCGTATTGTGCGCGATTCCTGGACACGCAAGGGATAGGGCGCGCGTTGATGCTGCACGCTGGGACCGTGCACGAGGACCTTCGGGTAACAGACGACGCCAACAGGTAGACGGGAACGGACTGCTTCGCGCGGGCTGTCTGGGCACCGCTGGCTAGGCCTGGGCAATGCGCGGCTGCTTGCGGTGGCGGGCGGTTGCGCTCGGGCGATGTCCGGCGGC